AATCTGCTGGCCTCAACCAGCACATGCATACATACACACAGAGACACATGAATAAAAACAAGATTAGTAGATAAATTCCTTGAGAGGTGGTCTTGGAAGTTGGTGGAGAAGGAAAATCCTCCAGTGGACAAAGCAAAGTCTGAGTGCTGCCTTGAAGTTGACAAATGCAAATACTTTGGCTGGGTACAGAGACTGGGTAGGGTGAGATCAGAGTGCTAGGGAAAGGGGGCCTGGGAAGAAGGCCCCTAAATGGACCCCCCGGGGAAAAACCCAGGCTAGGGGGGCCTTCCCCAGCGGTGCCGAAGGTCCTCTTGGCACACAGAAGCTGCCAAACCAGCTCACTGCCTGTGAAGGGCTGCTTACATTGGCCCTCTTCCAGCAGGGAGGGTGTAGAAATATGCTTTCTCTACAAGGAAGTGTCAAGGGTTTAGTTTGTTTACTTGCCTTGCTACGTGCACCTGCTACCTGGCCCCCTGTGGCATTCTGGGGTGTTTTAAGTGCACTTAGGGTGTCCCACACTCTGGTTTCTGACCAAGGTTCTCAGTTCACATGCTGTGTTAGTTTGCTTTCTATTGCTGTGGTTAAAAGCGTGTTACCGAAAGCATCTTGGGGAGGAAAGGGTTTATTTGGCTTACAGATTACAGTCCATCTTCAGGGAAAGCAAAGGCAGGAACTGATGCAGAGGCCGTGGAGGAGCTGACTACTGGCTTGCTGAGTCTGCTTTCTTATGCCTACTGAGGGGGGACAGTAGTTCTGATTTTTTTTGTCAAGTCAACACAAACTGGGGTCTTCTGGGAAGAGGGAACCTCAACTGAGAAAATGCCTTCATCCAAGCGGGCATTTTCTTGATAATGATTGATGTGAGAAGGGCTGGTCACAGTGGGCAGGTGATCCTGGGAGGTCTGAATTAGCCGAATGTGAGCCTGGGGAGCAAGTCAGTAAGCAGCATCCCCCATGGTCTTTGCTTGGATTCTCGCCTTGGCTTCCCTCAGTGACGCACCGTGATTGTGACTTGAACCTCCCCAAGTTGCTGTTGGTCAAGGTGTCTATCCCAGCAATAGAAAGCAAACTAGAATAGTGCTCAGAAAGATTTTCTTCCATTAGCAGTGACTCAACTGGACAGCTGCCTGGCTTGTTTGAGCTCTTCAAGCCATTGAGTTATCAGGTAGAAAAGGGGAACAGATGTTAAATGGGAGATTTATGACTTAGAAGAAATAGTGTTACCTTTACATAGTGGGGTCAGGGAGGAGGGAGAATGCAGTGCAGGGGAACACTCGGGGGTACCTTGTACCCCTGTGTCCCAAAGTTCAAGTTAACAGAACCCCAAAGCAGCAGGAACAAGCAGTTACAAGTTTAGATCCTCCAGGAATGAAGGGCTTTGGTTACTCCATAAGGAAAGAACCTGGGCCAACTGGAGTCTGGTACTAGGAGCCTTTATCATTTATTACAGAAGTAGGTATCTAGGTATCTAGGTATCAACTCCAGAATATTTGTTACTATGAATTTGGCCCCAGAGAAAGGAACTCCTTCTCACAGGGCGTCAGCAGTAAGAGCTGCAGTCTCAGGATCTCACACTGCAGAGCCTTACTCTTCCTTTTCATGTAGCACTGAGAAGCCCCCTTTAGTCAGTTAACAGCACCTGTGGCAAGTCCTGTCTCCCCTGAGACTTAAGTTTGCCAGGATGTTTAGGAAGTCCTGTCCAGGGGGGAGACAGGAGGCACCTGCTTTTCTTAAGATCCTACCTGCCTTCCTGGCTCTGAGAGAGATGCATGCCCAGAGAGTTGTTAAATGTGCCGGTGGATATAAAAACTACAAGTCTTGCGGAATCGAGAGAACTTTTAGAAGAAGAAACTTTTGGAGGCTTTGTAGAAGGAACTTTTAGATCTTAAGAGAACCTTAAGAGAGCTTATAGAGGGAAAATTACTAGAGAGAACTTTAAAGGAGAAATCTTAAAGAGAGCCTTTGAGAGAACTTTTGGGAAGAACAATTTTTGAAGAATCAAGAGCCATGAGAGGAACACGTGTGTGAGCCGATTTATTTCCTTTTTACCCTCAGATCAGAACTTTTCAGCAAGCCCCTAGCCCGACTGCTGTAAGTCTCCTCTCTGAACCCCCAGCAGGTTGGTTGTGGAACACACTGGTGAGGTGGTCGGTTGCCCAGACTTTAGGCTCAAAGCTGAGTGCGCATGCGTGCTGGCTGTGTACTGCTCTCATCATGAGTTCCCACATCTGTTCCGTGGGGAAGACAATAACTCCTTCCTGAAACAGTAATTGTGAGAATTAAGGGATGCCTGTAAAGTTCTTAGAACAGGGCCCAGCATGTAAGAAACACTCTGTAAATATGGACTATTAGCAAAGTAAAGGAACGAGAAACACAAAGGGCCATAAATACCATCTTAGCCTGGGGGCCAGTTGAAAACGTGAGACCAGTGCACACAAAACTCTGGGCAGAAATGCTTATAGCAGGCAAAACCGGAAGGAAAGCAACCCAGATGCCCTTGAAACTTGTGAATGATTAAACAAATGTTAGCAATCCACATCACGATGCATTTAATACTCAGGAGTAAAAAGGGACTAACTATTGATACGCACGACAACTGAGTGAGTCTGCAGAAACAATGCCCAGTGTAAAAGGTTACACAGCACATGTACATGCATAGAACATTTTTGAAATGACAAAATTGTAGTGTTAAACTTACTGGTTGATGCCAAGAGTTAAGAGGATGTGGGGAAGGGAAGAAAGTGACCCTGCCATCTAAGGGACCTTGGGGACCTTGGTAGTGACAGAAACGTTCTGTATGTTTACAAGGTAGCACGTGACTGTCAGCCCAGCGTGCTCGGGAGCTTGAGGCAGGAGGATGGTGAGTTTGAAGTCAGCATGGGGCGGGGAATAACAAAAAGAAAAAGAAATGCTTCTTCATATTGGCTGTATCAGTCAAAAGCCTGGCTGTGGTATTGTACTAGAACTCTGCAGGTATTGCTACTGAGGAGATGTGTAAAGGGGACCCTGCCTCTATCTTGTTTCTCACAACTGCAGTTATAAGAACAAACAAAGCTTCAGTAAAATATGGGAGCCTGGTGTGGTGGCACATGCCCCTAAACATGGCACCTGGCAGGCAGAGGCAATCTCTAGGGCTTTAAAGCTGGCCAGCTCTGTCTACATAGTGAGTTCCAGGCCAGCCAGGGCTGCATAGTAAGACCCTGCCTGATGGGGGCAGTATAGCTGAATGGTAAAGTTAACTATGTAAGAGTACTTGGCTTCAATATTCTGACCCCTTCAGATTGGGGGTGGGGTACAAGTTGAGATTATAGCTCAGCTGATAGAATCCTTGGCTATCAGGTACAGAGTCCAGGCTTAGATCCCCGGCGCTATAAACACTATGGTGGTGCATGCTTGTAACCTCAGAACTCTGTAGTGTTGTGACACACTGTGGTTGCAGAACATAGAGAAATCAACTTAGAACTGGCCTGGAAATTTCTTTCCTAGTGGCTAAGTTTCATAGACTAGACAAAAGGTACCATGCAAGTCACTACCGGGGGAGAAAAGTCATCAATGAACTTATCTGTTATGGTGGAGAGAAAGGAGAGAGGCCAAGACCTGCCTGCCTCTTCAGATGGAGGGGGTTGGGATTAGGTGGTGGCTGGGGCTTAAAGGGACCTCCTGTGCCTTCTTAGAGATAGGAGGATACTGCTTGCCATGCACGGAGGGGTGACGCCCTCTGCAGGGTCCCCAAGGGGTGAGGGCCAAGGTGTGTGCCTGGATGCTAACAGAAGGGATGGGCTAGAAGCCTGGGAGTGCTGTTATGGCTGTTGTACTGATGGACTACAGCAGCTATGATTACCTACACAAGGTCAAGCCAATCAGCATTCCAGCATGGATGTGGGCGGGGCTCAAGAGGCCTCCCCCTGGTGGAGGAGCTATTGGCCCTTGATGGCTGCTGAGGGAGGGAGAGTAATTTTCCTTCTGCAATGTAGTCACAATTTTGTTTTGTTTTGTTTTGTTTTTTGTTTTTCAAGACAGGGTATCTCTGTATTGTTTTGGAGGCTGTCCTGGAACTCAATCTGTAGACCAGGCTGACCTTGAATTCACAGAGATCCGCCTGCCTCTGCCTCCCGAGTGTATACGCCACCAACGCCCGGCCCTGGTAGTCACAATTTTTAAGGCTTATTTTTATTTTGTGTAAGTGGGTTTTTGCCTGCATGAATGTTTTTGTAAACTTCTGTCCTTAGTGCTCAAGGAAGCCAGAAGGAGGTTGTAAGGAGTCTTTTTCTGTCCCGCCAGCCAGCTCCCAAATAATGACACAGAGACTTCTTATTGATTATGCAAGATTGGCCTTTAGCTTAGCCTTGTCCCCAACTAGCTCTTATAACTTAACCCATTTGTATTAATCTGTGTTTTATCACGTGGTGTTACCTCTCTTCTATCTTGCACCCCATTTCCTCTCTGTGTTTCCATGGCCTCTTTGGCATGCCCGGATCCATCTCCTCCTTCCTCTCTGCCTCTATTTCCCACCTACACCTCCTGCCTAGCTATTGGCCGTTCAACTTCTTATCACACCAATCCCAGCAGTACATCTTCACAGTGTACAAGCATCCCACAGCAGGGGTGTCAGCAGCTCCTGAACTGGAGTCGCAGAAGATTGTGATCACTACGTGGGTGCTGGGGACCAAATCCCAGTCCTCCACAAGAGCAACGAGTGCTCTGAGCCAATGAGCCATCTCTCCAGCATCCCAGGGCATTAATTTTTAAATAATCTGCTCATAAATGGTTGTTAAATGCTATTACATGCTATTTCTGCTTCCATTGAAATAGTTATATAATTGCTTCCTCTCTCTGTCTCTCTCTCTCTCTTTCATCTCTCTCTCTCTTTCTCTCTGTCTCTCTCTCTCTCCCCCCCTCCTCTCTCTCTGGTTTTTTGAGACAGGGTTTCTCTGTGTAGCCTTGGCTGTCCTGGAACTTACTTTGTAGACCAGACTGGGCTTGAACTCACAGAGATCTGCCTGCCTCTGCCTCCTGAGTGCTGGGGTTAAAGGCGTGGGCCACCACTGTCAGCAGTCTCTCTCTCTCTTAAATGTTTATTTATTCTTCTTTCATTATTACATCCTAACTACAATCACCCCCCCCATTCTCTCTGACCCTTCCCCCAACTTCCTATCTCCCCCAGATCCAATTCTCTGTTTCCCTTCATAAAAACACAGGCCTCCCAGGGATATCAACCAAACATGGCGTAGCAAGTTCCAATAAAGGCACACACCCTCATATCAAGGCTGCATGAGGCAAACCAGCAGGAAGAAAAGGGTTCCAAAAGCAGGTAAGATTCAGCAACATCTCCCAGTCTCTGTGAGCCCATGAATCCTCCTTAGTTGACCCTGGGGGCTGTCTCAGGGTATCCTTTGACCCCTTTGGCTCCTACAATTCTTCCTCCCCCTCCTCAGCAGGATTCTCCCAGCTCTACCTAATGTTTAGCTGTGGTCTCTGCATCTGCTCCCATCAGTTGCTGGGTGAAGCCTCTCATGATGATTATGGTAGGCCTAGGTCTATGAGTATAGCAGAATATCATTAGGAATCACTTCATTGACTTTCCAATTTATTTTATTTTTGACCAGTTGTGTTTTATCCTAGGTCTCTGGGCTGTCCAGCGTCAGTTCCTGACCCTCCAAGCAGTGTCAAGTGTGGGCTCTCTCTTTATCTGGTAAATTACATGATGAATTATTTAGTTTGCTGTTCAGTCAATTCTCACAAATATAGTTTGAACCTAAACTTACCTAAAGCCTTAGTAACTCCACAGAGGAATAAAACCAGATGGTAATCTAATCTGACTTTTGGGAATGCATGCTATTTTTTATAGATTTATGATTTTACTTCATGCGTATGAATATTGTATGCATGCAGATTGAATCTCCTGGAACTGGGGCCCCAGGTTGGGTGCATGAGAACTGAGTTCCAGTCCTCTGCAAGAGTGCTCTTAACTACTGAGCCCAGGCACATATACCCTCGGCAGGGAGCCCTCTCACCTCCAAACTCAACGTTTATTCATTTGAGTCAGGATGCATTAGGGGAAGTCTGATATCAAAAGCAGGTAGGTTCCTGTGTCACGGTTGGGTGTGGAGTATCCCCAACCCTTCCAAACCCTATCTCTGAAGTTCAAGAACAATGGAAGGTGTGATATTGGCAGAATGCAGGGAACATAATGTGTATAGTTTGTTTCCCTCTGGGCACTGGCTTCTTAGCAGGTGAGGTACTCAAGGGGATACGTGGGCCCCATGGTCACGGGAGAACTCATGTCCTCCTGTGCCCACTCTTCAGAGCACGAAAGTGACTCTGTGAGTGGCAGTAAAAGCCCCGTGATTAAGTGGAGTATTTTAACTGTGCCTGTTGAGAATGCTTGAGGCAGGGCTGGAGAGATGGCTCGGGCTTAAGAGCTCTGGCTACTCTCCCAGAAGACCCAGGTTAGAGTCTCAGCACAAACACGCCAACTAACAACTGTCTGTAACTCATTCCAGCCACACTCTGGCTTTTCTGTGCTCTTGTCACATACATAGTACAGGCAAAATACACATAGAATTAAAAAACTGTTTAAAAGAAAGAAAGCTTGGTTGTGGCAGAGTGGGTTGCAGAGGAGCCCCAGAGGTTAAGAGCACTCCCTGCTGTTCAGAGAACCAGAGTTTGGCCATCTGCACATCTGTCTGACAGCTCACAGTTGCCTGTAACTGCAGCTCCAGAGATCGCACACTCTCTTCTGACCTCCTTGGACATTCACACATATGGCATATGCATACACAGTTACACAATGTCTTAGCTAGGGCCTCTATTGATCTCTTGTTGGGTTTCCGGCCAAAAGGGAAGGTTGTCTGGTTGCTTCTCTGATCTAGCAGGTTTTTTTTTTAAGGATTTATTTATTTATTACATATACAGTGTTCTGCCTGCATGCCAGAAGAGGGCACCAGGTTGAATTGTAGATGGTTGTGAGCCACATGTGGTTGCTGGGAATTGAACTCAGGACCTCTGGAAGAGCAGTCAGTGCTCTTAACCTCTGAGCCATCTCTCCAGCCCCCATCTAGCAGGTTTTTACGCCAACATCTGACTCACGAATCTTTACTGGTAAATAGAACAACTTAGATGAAAATAACAGCAACAAGAGAGGCTTATGGAGGTGAGGTGACTAAGTTTTGGCTGAAGTCCAACTATCAGTAGGTCCAGTGGGTCCCTGAATTTATCCTGTGGTTATTACCTCAGTGTCAGGATGCCTAATTGGGGTAGATATACTTAAAAGTTGGTGGAATTCCCACATTGGTTCCCTGACCTGTGGAGTGAGAGCTATTATGGTTGGAAAGGCAAATGGAAGCTGTTGGAGTTGCCTCTGCTAGGGAAAAAAAAAAGTGAATCAAAACCAGTATTGCACCCTAGAGGAATTGCAGGAATTAGTGCCAACATCAAAGACTCGAAAGATGAAGGACTTGGGATTTCCATCACAGCTTCCTTTGACTCCTATCTGACTGGGCGGAAGGCAGGTGGATCGTGGAGAATGACAGTGGACTGTTGCAAACTTAATCAAGTAGTGACTCTGATTGCAGCTGCCGTACCAAATGCAGTGTCTTCACGCGAACAGATTAACACATCTCCTGGTACATGGGATGCAACTGTTGGTCTAGAAAATGCCTTTATTTATCTCAGTACCTGTCCATAAGGGCCACCAGAAGCAATTTCAGTTGGCAAGATCAGCAGTACACCTTTGTAGCTTCACCTCAAGGATATATTAACTCTCCTGCTCTGTGTCATAACTTAGCTCAAAAAGATATTGACGGCCTTGTCTCGCCACAAAATATCAATTTGCCCACTGGATTGACTGCTAATTAAAACCATGAGGAGGAAGCAACAACAGGTCCAGGCTGTGCAGGCTGCGCTACCGCTTGGGCCGTATGACCTGATGATACCTGAGGTCTCAGTGCCAGATACGGATGGTGTTTGGAGCATGTGGCAGGCTCCTATAGGTGAACCACAGAGGATGGAATGGAAGCCCGCTGACGTTCTTGCTGGGGGTAGAGGGAATACAGAATGGGTAATAGAGAAAGTCGATTATAAATACCAGCTAAGACCACATGACTAGTTACCTAGTTACAGAAATGGATTATAACTGCCATGAGTGTTTCTGTCATATTTTGTTAAGAATGTGTTTGTACAGGTATTTATGTTTCTTTCCTTGATTTATTATGTAATATAACATTAATCAAAAGAATATCGGTGATTAGTTGGGCGTTGGTGACGCACGCCTTTAATCCCAGCACTCGGGAGGCAGAGGCAGGTGGATCTCTGTGAGTTTGAGGCCAGCCTGGTCTACAGAGCGAGTTCCAGGACAGTCTCCAAAACAATATAGAGAAACCCTACCTCAAAAAAACAAACAAACAAAAAAATAGAATATCAGTGATTATCATGTTTAAGTTTGTGGTACTAAAAGAATATACATATATATGTGTGTGATATATCATATATATATGTACATATATGATTCATTCTCTAAGTTCTGTTCCTCTAAAAAAACCTGACTAGAATACTTTCTCCCCTCTTCTGCAGGATTCCCTGAGCTCTACCTAATGTTGGGCTGTGAGTCTGCATCTGTTTCCACCACTTGCTGGATGAAGCCTCTCTGATGACAATTGGGCTACACACCAATCTATGTGTATAGCAGAATATAGTTAGGCATCATTACATTGACATTTTTAACCCACAGAATCAACTATTCTGGGCTCACGGGGGCCTCACAGAGAGTGAACTGACAACCAGGGAGCCTCTTGCTGGCTTTCAGGATCCTACTCCTCATACTGGGTCACTTTGCCCAGCCTTAGTCTTACTGCAACTTGGTATGATATCCACGGGAGGCCTTCCCTTTCCTGAAAGAAGCAAAGCAGGAGTGGACTGGGGGGGGTGGAAATGGGGGTGAGGATGGGGGTGGGGGGATGTTAGAGGTAGGAGTCGGGAGATGGGAAGGGGAGGAGAGGAGGGAGACTGCAGCCAGGCTGTAAAATTAATTAGTAATTTTAAAAAAGAACCTTGACTAATAGACTGGCCCAGAGGTTAAAGCAGCAAAGGAGGCAGACAGTATGGAAGTAGCGATGTCAAGCTTCCTCATCCTGTGTCGGCCCTCATCGCACACTCTCATGGGTGCAAGTAAACAGAGTTGGCACTGAGCAACGGCCAGCTTCACGTTCCTAAAAGTAACCTAAGTGGTCACTGTCGTCATAACCCATGTATCAGAGCTGTCACCTACAGCAAAACATGCTGAACTGTCTAAGTCCCCAGATGAGTGGTTTCCAGCCGACTGGAAGCAAGTGAAGTGGAGGGTTTCAAATGAGCGCTCGTGAACACTGCAGCGGCCAGCAAGCATTATTTATGTCTTCTGTTTATGTTGTTATTTGCATAGTGTTTCGTTAGCAATGGCTGCTGAGTTTCTTAAAGTGATTTTAGAATCTAATGACACAATGTTCTCTTATTTTGTTGATTTATTGAATTGTGCCAAACAATCATTAAAAAGCAATAAATCTAAAGCCTTACCTACCTGAGATAGGGTCTTGCTGTGTAGCCCAGATGAGCCTGGAGCTCACGATATAGACCAGGCTGACCTTGAACTCACAGAGATCTGCCTTCCCTTGCTTCCTCTGTGTTGGGATTAGAGGTGTGTGCCACCCAGGTTTATTTTTTTAAAGATCTATTAATTTATTGTGTGGGGATGACATATGTGTGTCATATGGAGGTAAAGGGGCAACTCTTTTTTTTGTTTGTTTGTTTTTTGAGACAGGATTTCTCTGTATTATTTTGGAGGCTGTCCTGGCACTCGCTCTGTAGACCAGGCTGGCCTAGAACTCACAGAGATCCGCCTGCCTCTGCCTCCCGAGTGCTGGGATTAAAGGCGTGCGCCACCAACGCCCGGCTCTAGGGGCAACTCTTTGGGGACCAGTTCTCTCCTTCCACTTTTTTTTTTAACGTGCATGGGTGTTTGGCCTGGGCAATTGATTGTGCACCACACACAAGCCTGTTTCCCCATGGAGGCCGGAAGAGGCCTCGGATCCCTTGAGATTAGAGTTACAGGCGGTTGTGAGCCACCCTGTGAGCACTGGCAGTCAAAGCCAAGCCCTCTGTAATAGCAGCCAGTGATCTAACCGCTGAGCCATCTCTCCTCCTCCCACCTGCTTTTGAATCAGGGTCTCTCATGTTTCTGCCACTGTGTTGGGTTCATCTCTTCACCTCTCATATCATCAGCCCCCAAATCATAACAGAGACTTATTACTAATTATGAAGGCTTGTTTCTAACTAGTTCTTGTAACTTAAATTAGCCATTTCTATTCATCTATATTCTGTCATGTGGTTTGTGGCTTTTACCTCTCCTCCTGCATGCCCTGCTTCCTTTGGGTCTAGCTGGGACCCCTTCTTTCTTCTCCCTGGGATCTCCGTCCCCAGAAGCCCCACCTACCCTCTTCCTGACCAGCTATTGGCCATTCAGCTCTTTACTAAACCAATCACAGTGACACATCTTCACACGGTGTAAAGGAATACTCCACAACAAGTGCAGGATTACAGATGAATGCCACTGAATTTGGCCTTTTATGCGTTCTAGGGATTGGTCTTGGGGCATCAGGCTTTTGTGGCAAGAACTTTTACCCACTGAATGAACTGCCAGGCCCTAATCTTACTTAAAATATTCAGAAATGACTTAATGCCAGCTACTACAAAGAGAAGCATCTCTCTTGAGGGCTGAGAGGTGCTCTGATCTATGAGCATAGCCATAAATCATTAGCAGTCATTTTAATACTATATCCATTTGGCAGAAGAATAGTATTGATTCCTCTCCTAGAGCCTATGACTGATCTAGCCTCAGGTTCTTGGCTGCTTTAACAATGCCAGGTATGGGTTCTATCATATGGATCAGAAAGAGGTTGGTCACTCCCATAACATGTGTGCCACTATTGCTCCAGCGGGCATACCTTGTCGGCCCAGTTATAAGGTGCAAGGTTCACATCTGGATGAGATTAAGGACTACTGTTCTCTGGCAAGGTGCATAACACCTTCCAACACCGTGAAAGCTTTCCAGGTGACGCTTCCAGGTCAGTAACAGCTTGATGTTTACATGTTCTGTGAGTCAAGTATATATTATGTTTAACAAACACAGAGATCCCCCCCCCAAACTGGTCAGTGGCAGAGAATAAGAGACTGGAGCGATCAGCCCTAAATGAAACATGCATATCACACCCTCCCCCCAACACCAAAGGCTCAGGGATCTTGGTGAATTGGGGGAAGAAAGATTGTAAGAGCCCGAGGTGGTAAATAAATCATAGATTTATGTACCACATGTGTGCTGGTGCCTTTAAGCCCCTGGAACTGGAGTTACAGACAGTTGTGAGCTGTCATGTAGAAGCTGAAGATCAAAACAGGGTCCTCTGGGAGCAGCCAGTGCTCTGAACCACTGAGTCATCTCTCCAGCCCCAGGCACAGAAAATGGCAATACACAATGTCCTTCCTCTTCCTCTCAGGATGGAGACGAAGCTTCCCTGCCTTCCCTGCCCTGGCAGATGGCATCCCCCTGAATGGTTCCTTCACAGACACCTGACAAACAGTTTCTCTACCCATGGACTTCTCAGAATCTACATGCAACTCCCTGTCTCTGCTTCTACAGCAAGTCTTGTCTTACTCCACTCCACCTGTCCCTGGCACTGAGACCCTGTCTTTGGGGCACCCACCCCCCAGCAGCGGCTAGCAGCAGTCTGTCACCATTGGACCTTCTGCAAGTGGAGCTAGCCACATCTTTCCTGAAGTCTAAAGGGCACACATCCTCTGAAGGTCTCCTTCAAAGCCTTCGTCCCTTCTCTGCACATGACAAACGGCCCGAAATGAAGACTCAGGTTCAGATCAAAGACTATTTGCATGATGGGGCTTGAAATTCTGACCAAAGGCTTCTAAAGCTATTAAGCCTGTACCTAGTAAAACTCTATTCTGACATGACTTTAGGGGTAGTTAAACGTGCTCCTGGCTTTCCCAGAGTTCCAGAATCGAACCCTAGAACTTACATTGGTCAGCTCACAGTTACCTATAACTCTAGCTCTCTATTACCCTCTTCCAGGCTGTGGTTACCTAAGAGCATGTGTGGGAACATGCAGACATATTCACAAATTAATTAAAGACAACGCATGTGTGGGAACATGCAGACATATTCACAAATTAATTAAAGACAACGCATGTGTGGGAACATGCAGACATACATATACACTAATTAATTAAAGACAACGCATGATTTTGAAGCTAGGTGTGGGGTTTCACTTTTGTTATCCCATCACTGAGGCAGGAGGACCACCATGAGTTCAAGGCCAGCTTGGGGCTACACAGTGAGACCTAGTGAGAATCTGCCTCAAAAATAACTCCCCCCAAACATCAGGGGCTCTATAGGCTCCTAGTGATATTCATGTACCGAGAACAGACATTATAAAAGTGTTGAGGTTAAAACAGTGCGATCATGGACATTGGGGATGAACGTTGGAGGCTGCGGCTGAGTGTGTGACGGCCAGGCTGATCATGTGGGTGGCTAAGGGCTTTCACGAATCCTTTTCCTGAAGAACATACACAAAGGTCTGCTGTCCTTTCACATGGACTTGCTTCCAGTGCTGCTATTTCTAACAGTCTGAACTGTGGTTAAGGACAGCTTCTAAGAGGCTTCTACCTACTCCAGGGCAGGGGCCGCTGCAGACAGCCTGCCCTAGTTTTGCTTCTGTTGCTGTGATAAAATACCCGGACACAAGGCAGATTAGGTGAGAAAGGGTTCGTTTTAGTCCATAGTTCCAGATTCTAATCTGTCGTAGCAAGGAAGTCAAGGCAGCTTTAACAGCTAGTCATTGCTCTATCAAGAGCTGAGAGAGATGAATGTGTGTGTGTAGTGCTTGGCTAACCCTCTCTACTCGTACGCAGTCCAAGACCCAAGCCAAAGAAATAGTGCATGCCTTGACATGAGTGGTTTTGGGGTTGACCTGACTGGGGCAAAGGGGAATCAAGAAACGACAGACTGAGAACAGAGAAGCTGGGGTTGGGTGGCCCTGAGCTCTGGTGGAGACACAGCAGCAGCCAGGAAACTCGGTGCGTTTATTACATACAGCTCTTGTCCCCATTAGGGTTTCTATTGCTGTGATGAAACACCCTGACCAAAAGCTAGTTGGGGAGGAGAGGGTTAATTTGGCTTACATTTCTACCCTGTAGTCCATCGTTGAAGGGAGTCAGGACAGGAACTCAAGAAGGACAGGGGAGCTGATGAAGAGGCCCTGGGGTACTCCCTTCTTCCTCCTGGCTTGCTCAGCCTGCTTTCTTATAGAACCCAGGACCACCATCCTAGGGATGGCATCACCCACAATGGGCTGGTGCCTCCCACATCAACCGCTAATTAAGAAAATGCCCTGCAGCTGAGTCTTATGGAGGTATTTTCTTAATTGAGGTTCCCTCCTTTCAGATAATGACAGCTTGGGCCAACATTACATAAAACTTGTTAGCACAGCTGTGTAGAGATCCCTGGGTAAAGGAAGTCCTGAGTGAACATGTATTGCTGACACAAGTGTGACCATGCCAAAGACTCCAATGCTTCAGCCCTGTGGGAGCGGCAAAGCCTCCCCTGGAGAGACTCAGATAGATGGCAATGCTTTCTTTGGTGGTGGGCGTTCCAAGTTCCAGGATTGAAAAGTGTATGCAAAAAGTACAATTGCAGAGTCCTGTCTGGATGGTCACAGCCTGGGACTGCTCACCTACAGACCTCCTACCAGAATTAGCCAACCCCTGCCTCCATGCTGTGTTTAATAAACACGGCTGAAGTTCCAGACTGTTGAGATGCCACTCAGTTAGAGTGCACACTCATCTGACCCCAGCTTTTCTGTAGGTGAGTCT